GCACTTTGGGAGGCCAAGGTGAGAGGATTGCCTGAGCCCAGGAGTTCAAGACCAGCCTGGACAACATGGTGAGATCTTGTCTCTACAAAAAAAATCAAAAACAAAAAATTAGTCAGGCATGGTGGTGCACACCTATAGTCCCAGCTACTTGGGAGGCTGGAGCAGAAGTATCGCCTGAGTCCAGGAAGTCAAGGCTGCGGTGAGCCGTGATTGTGCCAGTTTGCACTACTACTCAAGCCTAGGTGATAGAGTGAGGCTTCAAGTCAAAGAAAAAAAAAAAGCTATGCTATGCTTTACCATGTGAGAGGCACTGTACTGTGATTGAAATTTATATAATCCAGAGTACAGGGGGTAGGAGAGATGATGTCTGGAATGGTCAGTTCTACAAGGGGAGTTGGACCAGAGTATTGTAAAGTTGAATCAAAAACAGATTTCCAGTCGGGTGGGGTGGCTCAGCCTGTAATCCCAGCACTTCGGGAGGCCGAGGCAAGAGGATTGCCTGAGCCCGGGAGTTCGAGACCAGCTTGGTCAACTTGGTGAAACCTTGTCTCTACAATAAATTTTTTTTTTTTTTTTAAAGGGAGGCATGAAAGTGCGCGCCTGTAGTTCCAGCTACTTGGAAGGCTGAGGCAGAAGGATTGCCTAAGCTCAGCAGGTAGAGGCTGTGGTGGCCGTGAGTGTGCCACTGCACTCCAGCCTGGGCAACAGAGTGAGACTCCGACTCAAAAAAAATTAAAAAATAAAAAAACACATTTCTAGGCTGGGTGCAGTGGCTCAGCCTGTAATCCTGCGCCTTGGGAAGCCGAGGTGAGTGGATTGCCTGAGCCCGCGGGTTCGAGACCCGCCTGGGCAACTTGGCGAGACTTCATCCCTACAATAAATCAAAAAATTAGCCGGGCGTGGTAGCGTGCACCTGTAGTTCCAGCTACTTGGAAGGCTGAGGTGGAAAGATCGCTGGATCCCAGCAGGTCGAGGCTGCGGTGGCCGGGAGCGGCCACTGCACTCCAGTCTGGGCGACAGAGTGAGACTCCAACTCAAAAAAAAAAAAAAAGACCCCTGTCTCTATTAAAAAAGAAAATTTATAACTGACTAGAAAATGAACACCAGCCCAAAAAACAGTGGACTCCGTTATGACATAGACTTCAATCACCCAGGCACGATCAGCCCCTCCCCATTCCCAACCCCCATCCACCCCAAACATGTAGGTGATAAGATTATTAATAACACACAAAAGGAGGAGGGATAAGGAGCTGATATTTAACTTAGGTTACCACATCTAATTTTCACAACAGACCTTTAAGGCAGGCTCTATCGTGCCCATTTTATAGATGAGAAAATTAAGACCCCGAGGATACATTCATTCTGCAGAGCCATCATACAGAAAAGGGTAGCAAAAGAGTTTTTTTTATTTTGAGTCCGGGTTTCACTCTGTCACTCAGGCTAGAGTACAGTGACAGCCTCCAATTCCTGGGCTCAAGCAATCTTTCCTGAGTAACCAGTACTAGAGGCGCACACTACCATGCCCGACTGATAGCAAAAGTTCTTAACACCTCTGGGCCTCAATTTTTTTCATCTGTTAAGAGACTCCAGGATTGCTTCTGCCTTTCATATTCAATGATGGCATTTTACGTTTGTAATTGAGTTTATCATTGAAAAAAGAAAGATGCTAGTCTAATCTGTTCTTCACTAGTTAATCTCTGTCATATAAAATATTTAAAAGAATGGAATTGTTGGGATTGTCTAACCTACAGAAGAGAAGACTCTCAGGGGTTGGGAGGCGAGGAGATGTCAAGGCGACCTTCAGATTCTTCAAAGACTGCCCCACATGGAAGAGAGGTTGGCCTTGATCTTTTGGTCTCAGAGAACTTCACGAGAACCAATGAGGAGACTTCTAGACTTCTAGACTTTCTTCATAAGCAGAAAGATCACGCCAGTCCTCAGATTCATTGATTCAAGAGATTGGCCTTACATCTTAGCCCTATGGAAGAGATTTTATCCTTAACAAGATTAAAAAGTCATGGTTCAGCTGAGCATAGTGGCTCACGCCTGGGATCCCAGCATTTTGGGAGGCCGAGATGGGAGGATCACTTGAGTGCAGGAGTTCGAGACCAGCCTGGGCAACATAGCAAGACCTTGTCTCTACCAAAAAAAAATTTTTTTTTAGTTGGAATCTCACTCTGGCGCCCAGGCTTGAGTGCAGTGGCACGCTCACAGTCATCACAGCCTCAACCTGCTGGGCTCAGATGATCCTTCTGCCTCAGCCTTCCAAGTAGCTGAAACTACAGGTGTGCGCCACCATACCTGCTAATTCTCTGATTTATTATAGAGACGAGGTCTCGCCAAGTTGCCCAGGCTGGTCTTGAATCCCTGGACTCAGACAATCCTCTCGCCTCCGCTTCCCAAAGTGCTGGGATTACAGGCATGAGCCACCACACCCGGCTCTACAAAAATATTTTTAAAATTAGCCATACGTGGTGATGTGCACCTGTAGTCCTAGCTACTCAGGAGGCTCAGGCAGAAGGATTGCCTGTGCCCAGAAAGTCAAAGCTGTGTTGACCCTTAATCAAGCCACTGCACTCCAGCCTGGGCAACAGAGTAACCTGACTCAAAAAAAAAAAAAATACAAACCCCATGGTTTAAAGATATCAAACCAGCATTTCAGTCATCATTGAACAGGTGAAAAAGACATGAAAATGGTGGTGAAGAAAGGAACACAAGACACCAAAATTCATTCAAGACGGCCCCCAAAGCCCCACTGAGTCTAGAGACTGGCTTCTAGCCCAGAGATTTCTGCAGTCACCATGCTCAGCACAGGCTGGTCAGGTTTGTCGCCTGTGTCCTCTACCATCTGAGCAATGTGGCTGTCTCTCCTCTTGTCTTCCAGATGTTCACCTCCACAATATTCGCTGTGGTTGGATTTGTGGGTGCCGGATACTCCTTTATCATCTCAGCCATCTCAATCAACAAGGGTCCGAAGTGTCTCATAGCCAATAGCACGTGGAACTACCCCTTCCACAATGGGTAAGGCCACACCCTGCAATGCCCACGCGTCATCACAGGGGGCATGGGCAGGTAAATCGCCCCAGAGGAGACTGTCTCATGCAAGTCTCAGGCTTGGGGCTCCTTTAGGGCAGAGCCAGGCAGGCTCTCACCTCAGATTGCTCTGGGAGGGATCCCCAGGAGAAATAATGAAATGAGGTTGCCTCGGGTGACCTGAGGAAAGGAGGAGAGGTGTGGGGTCACCACTTGCATCCAAATATTTATTGGCAGCAACACAAGACAACAAATAATATTAGTAAGCAAACTCGTGGTGCCTGTCATAAAGCTTATCAGAGAAAATGAGAACAATGACTCACTAACTGGGCTCAAAGGCTTTCATTAGCACCCCTAATTGCCTATAATGACACAGTGTCTTCAGGGATAAATTTACAGAAAATGACATTGAAAACATTGTAGGTTTTTCATGAGAATGAATGTGAATTCAAATATTTACAATAGGCCAGGTGCAGTGGCTCACACCTGAAATTTCAGCACTTTGGGAGGCCGAGGCGGCAGGACTGCTTGAGCCTAAGAGTTTGAGACCAGCCTGGGCAACATGGCGGGACTTCATCTCTATTAAAAAAAAAAAAGTCAAACCATTAGCCAGGCACGATGGTGCTTGCCAGTTGTTCCAGCTACTTGGGAGGCTGAGGTAGAAGGATCTCCTGAGCCCAGGAGTTCAAGGTTACAGTGAGCCATGATCGTGCCACTGCACTTCAGCCAGGGTGACAAAAAAAAAACAACAAAAAAAAAAAGAAAAGAAATCTTTAAAATATTTTAGGTTGGGGAGGAGTGGAGGATTGCTTGAGCCTAGGAGTTTGAGACCAGCCTGGGCAAAATAGTGAGACCATCTCTACAAAAAGTAAAAAAAATTAACCAAGCATGGTGGCGCATGCCTGTAGTCCCAGCGACTCAGGAGGCTGAGGCAGGAGGATTGCTTGAGTCCAGGAGCTGGAAGCTGTGATGAGCTGAGATCACACCATTGCACTCCAGCTTGGGCAACAGAGTGAGACCCCGACTCAAGATGATAATAATGATAATAATCACCAACATATTTCATGTTTTTGTGGGCACTCTGAAGGCTGTGAAGAATTTTTTCCCCCCAAAATGTAATTTTATCTCCCTAGCAGCCTCAAAAGTTTAACTTGCTCAAAGTCACCCAGTAGGTTGGAGCAGAGGCAGGACTCAAACCCAGCAACCTCTGGCTTTGAGTCCCCATCATTTCATATTGCACATCCCCAGCCCTGCACTGCCCTGCCCAGTAGCCAGTAACCATCTGTGGCTATTTACACGGAAATTCATTTCAGTGAAATAAAGCGAAAAAATTTAATGCTTCAGTCACTCTTGCCATATTCTGAGTACTGAACAGCCACACCGGCTTGTAGCTGCCTTGCTGGACAGCGTAGACGTGGTACATTTCCGTCACTGCAGACGGCTCCGTTGGACTTTAACCTCCATTGGTTAAAGAAGTTTCCTGACCCATTTTGTTCACCGCCTCGGCCCCTCTACCCAGCACAGTGACTGGCACCTCCTGGAGGGTCAGGAACTATGATTATTGGGTCTTCCTGAACATGAAGGGTGGGTTGATGCTTAAAAATAAACCGGCAACACACCCATATATGAACTTGAGCCCCTGTGTATTAATTTTCCATGAGATTGGAAAGAACCTTCAGGGCAGGCTTCAGGCTGGGGAGGTGGCGGGTCCTCGTCCTGGTCTTGGTCTGTTCACAGGTGTCTCACATGAAATAGCCCCACCCATTCGCCTAGGTAAACAACACAAGGTCTCCTCATCCTGATGCCACAGGCAAGCGTTCCCAGACATGTTAGTTTCCTGTGGAAAGCCCTGTTACCTTGCAGAGGGCTGAGGGGGCTGCACTGCCATGCGGCTGCTTTGCTCAGGCTTGGAACCCAGATATCAGGAGGCAGAGCCATCGTCTGGGTTTCTTCCCCTCGTAGCTCACTCTCGTCACCTAGAGGTGCATCTGTGAAGTACAGATCATGTCTTGCCTCGAGAATCCTTCTATTCATTCCATCAGCAGCAATACCAGTGCGGCAGACAACATATTTTTCTGTTATGCAAATAATACTCGAGAAACTTAAAATCAATTAGAAAAAATCTATGTCCAAAACAAAGGAGAGAGAAAGGAAGCCAGCATACAATGGTCTCGTAGGTTCTGACTTTGAGACCTAACACCCGCCCCTGGCACAGTTGGGATCAGATGGGACCAATGCCCAAAGTCAGGAGTGGCAGCTGGGCTGTGGGCCACCCCAGGAAATACCAACGTGTGGGAAGGACAGGAAAATACTTCCCAAAATTCTCTGTATTTGTCCGTCCGGTGAAGCAAGTTTCCACACACACCATGGCCAATGACTGTGCATTGCTTTGTAATCAATGACTCCACATATGTTATCATGCCTACACCTTGCAACAGCGACTAACCCACCCACTTACAGGTACCACATTTTTATTTTATTTATTTATTTTATTTTATTTATTTTTTTGAGTTGGAGTCTCACTCTGTCGCCCAGACTGGAGTGCAGTGGCCGCTCCCAACCACTGCAGCCTGGACCTGCTGGGCTCTGGCGATCCTTCCGCCTCAGCCTCCAATAGCTGGAAGTACAGGTGCATGCTACCACGCCCAGCTGATTTTTTGATTTATTGTAGAGATGAGGTCTCGCCAAGTTGCCCAGGCGGGTCTCAAACCCGTGGACTCAGGCAATCCACTCACCTCGGCCTCCCAAGGCACGGGATTACAGGCTGAGCCACCGAGCCCGGCTTATTTTTAATTTTGTTGGAGTCTTACTCTGTCACCAAGGCTGGAGTGCAGTGACACGCTCATAGCCACCACAGCCTCAATCCGCTCTCAGGTGATCCTTCCACCTCAGACTTCCAAGTACCTGGAACTACAGGCATATGCCACCACGCCCAGCTAATTTTTTTATTTATTGTAGAGAGGAAATCTTGCCAATTTTCCCAGGCTGGTCTCGAACTCCTGGGCTCAGGCAATCCTCTCACCTCAGCCTCCCAAAGTGCTGGGATTACAGGCGTGAGCCACCGCACCCTGCTGGGTATCACATTATAAAGATTTAATAATTAAAACAGAATAGAATAAACCTTGCAGGCAAACAGGAGCATTTCAGAGGTCTCTGCCTGTCTTCTGTTCACTGTATGCCTTTGATAATTATCTGAAGGGAGAATGATTTGAATACCTAGATATCTGCATAGTGGCTTCAAACTCTAATGTAGTCCAAAAAAATTCCTCTATAGGGATGTATTGCAAAACCATATATACAGCACAGTTTATTTATGTATAAACTTTTATGTATATTTATGGGATATTTAAGAATGACTCTGACTACTCATGATTTTGGGGATTTTTTTCCCCTCATGCCCTGACTTTAGAATTTAATCCCACTTAAGATGTAAGGCCACTCTGTGCAAGGTGTGAAAAATGCCACAGTGGTGACAGGAAGGACATTCTGGTGACAGGCGGGGTGTGTCTGCTGCATTTCTTTGGTACCTGGCAGACTTTCCACAGCATTCATTGTCTCCTCACGTCCTATTTCCTGTCTTCTGAGACCACTGAATGTGAGACCACGACTCACATTCCCTTTTGACCGTATTTCCAAATGCCAGTTCCAGACTTTCCCTCTGATGACGGCAATAGTTGAACCTTCTAGCACTTGGTGTTTTTCAGTTAACAAAGTGCTGTCACCCACAATGTTTCATTTGATCCTCACAAAAATTTTCTGAGATTATTAACTCTCCTTCAAAGGTAAGAAAGCTGAGGCCCAGAGGTGACAAGTGACTTGTCCAAAGGAATACAGTTTCTTTTTTTCTTTTGAGTTGGAGTCTCACTCTTGTTGCCCAGGCTGGAGTGCAGCGGCATACTCACGGCCACCGAAGCCTCGCCCTGCTGGGCCTAGGTGATCCTTCTACCTCAGCCTTCCAAGTAACTGGAACTACAGATGCACACCACCATGCCTGGCTAATTTTTTGTGATTTATTTTAGAGATGAGGTCTCACCAAGTTGCCCAAGCCTCCCAAAGTGCTGGGATTACAGGCCGAGCCACCATGCCTGGCCGGAATACATTGTCTTAATTACTGAAGCTTGGATCCAAGTTTTCTGACTCCGAGTCACAGTGCTTTTTCTAGAACACAGTTTATCTCGATTCGCACTGTCTGGTTTTTGCCTAGATTTCCTCTGACAACGCTCCTGGGCCTCTGTCTCCCACTCCTTTTCACTGTGCTGGCATCTGATGTATAAGAAAAGTCTGTGGATCTTCTCATCCATCCAAGCATATAGCAGCTGTTGTTATAGCAGCAAACCTAACACACACCCCTAGCGACTCAGTGAGTAGAAAGGACCAGTCACTCATATGAGCCCCAACACGAAGAATCAAGACAGTTGTTACTCTTCCCTGATCACCAAAGGGCAGGTGCTTTGGTGGCTGCTTCTCCTTCTTGTTCTTGTCCTTCAATCTCTTTCTCCTCCTCCTCCTCTTCTTCTTCTACTCTTCTTCCTTCTCCTTATTTTTTTTTTCCTCTCCTCTTCTTGTTCTTTCTCTTTTTTCCTCCCAATGATTAAGCGCTAAGTAATTTTGTTTTTTTGAGTTGGAGTCTCACTCCATCGCCCAGGCTGGAGTGCAGTGGCATGCTCACAGCCACCCCAGCATTGACCTGCTAGGCTCCTGCTGTCCTTCCACCTCAACCTTCCAAGTAGCCGGAACTACAGGAGTGCACTACCACGCCCAGCTAACTTTTTTTTTTTTTTTGAGTTGGAGTCTCACTCTGTCACCCAGACTGGAGTGCAGTGGCCACTCCCGGCCACCGCAGCCTCGACCTGCTGGGCTCCAGCGATCCTTCCGCCTCAGCCTTCCAAGTAACTGGAACTACAGGCACGCCCTACCACGCCCAGCTAATTTTTTATTTATTGTAAAGATGAAGTTTTACCAAGTTGCCCAGGCGGGTCTCGAACCCACAGGCTCAGGCAGTCCACTCACCTCAGCCTCCCAAGGTGCGGGATTACAGTCTGAGCCACCGAGCCCGGCTTAACTTTTTGATTTATTGTTGAGATGAGGTCTTGCCAAGTTGCCCAGACTGTTCTCGAGCCCATGGGCTCAGTCAATCCCTTCACCTTGGCCTCCCAAAGTGCTGGGATTACAGGCTTGATCCACCACGCCCAGCCAAGTGCTAAGTATTTTTACATGCAGTGTCTCCCTTAATCTGAGAAGAATTCTTTTCCCTGGAGAAGAAAAATGAAGTCGAGAAGGTTCATTTTCCCAGGACTCTAAGCTAATAGCTGGTAGAAGGGGAAAAAATGTTTCAATACACTTGGTCAGTACCCTAATTGGTTTTGAAGCCTATCCCAAGCATGGAACAAAGAAGAACAGGTATGGTATCTCCCTGGTGAGCACGCGGGTCAGGGTGACAAGGAACAGACCCTCACAATGCAGAAAGTGACGAAACGGAGAGGGTGGGTAGGGAAACCTCTCTGGGGAGGGACACAGGCTGGTTGTGGAGGATGAGCAGAAGTCTGCCTTCCAGACAGGGAGGGGAAGCCTATTTCAGGCGTGAAAAGAGCGACACGTTCAGGGTTTGTCAGGACACTACACGGTCAAAGCTCAGGGTGAATGTGGGGAGGCAGCGGAATGGGTCACCCCACGATGGGGTGTGCCTGAGAGGCAGACCGGGCCTTCGGAACATCGGGGCACGGTGGAGGACTTCAAACAGGACAAGGCATGGCCACTTCGAACTTTTAGAACAATGATGCAAAGGGCGAATGGAAGGTCATAGTAACTGAAGAGAGAAAGAGAAGGAGGTTGGAGCCACAGTCCAGCTCAGACAGTGAGCATCTCCAAGGCAGTGAAATGGGGGCTCGAAAGAGACACGTGTCAGAGAATGTTCGAATGGAATCATTGGGATTCGTTGTGAGGAGAAAAGGGGAAGGCTTTCAAGGGGGACTCTGGGGTTTCCACCAAGTTCAGGGCCCTTCCGTGCCATCACAATTAGCACTCAATATTCTCACCAATATTAAGAGAGCAAAGACAGTTAATTTTCTCTGTCTTGAGAACCGTATTAAAGAAGCATCCTTTGCTGGGCATGGTGGCTCAGGCCTGTAATCCCGGCTCTCTGAGAGGGCAAGGTAGGAGGATCGCTTAAGCCCAGGAGTTCAAGACCAGCCAGGGCAACATAACAAGACAACGTCTCTACAAAAAAATAAATAACTAATCAGGCATGGTGGCGTGTGCCTGTAGTCCCAGTATTCAGGAGGCTGAGGCAAAACGTTCGCCTAAGCCCAGGAGGTCGAGACTGCCGTGAGTCACAATGGTGCCACTGCACTCCAGTCTGGGCAACAGAGGGAGATGCTGACAAACAAGAAGCCTCTTAGAAGGGAAAATGAAAACTGAGCATTAGAGGTACACCCTCTTGGCTTGCTTTGACAACAACTTCCTCCCTTCCAAGGTCTTCCTCCCAGAGACAATAGCCACCCCTCCCTTGATCCCAGGCCGTGAAAGGGAAGTGGAGAAAGAATCAAGGGCATTCAGCAGCAAGGGAGGGACAGACCAAGCATGGTACCCCTGGGCCAGGCTACAACCCTCCTCATCCCTGGGAAAGAGTGAAAGGCTGGAAAAGCACTGTCACATCTGTGATTCAGACACCAAGATGCTGATGTGAACACAATTAGATATGCTACCTGGCTTTCAGAGCAGACCATCTGCACCTGCATTTCAAAAATTACTCGACTGGGCGCAGTGGCTCACACCTGTTATTCCAACACTTTGGAAGGTTGAGGCGGAAGGGTTACTTGAGCCCAGGAATTTGAGACCAGTCTGTGCAACCTAGCAAGACCTCATGTCTACAAAAAATCAAACATTGAGCCGGGTGTGGTGGCACACGCCAGTACTCGGGAGGCAGAGGCGGGAGGATTGCCTGAGCCCAGGAGATCAAGGCTACAGTAAGACGTGATTGTGCCACTGCACTCCAGCCTGGGCAACTGAGTGAGGCTCAGGCTCAAAAAAAAAAATGTAGCCGGTCTCGGTGGCTCAGCCTGTAATCCCACACCTTTGGGAGCCTGAGGTAAGTGGATTGCCTGAGCCTGAGGGTTCGAGACCCGCCTGGGCAACTTGGCGAGACCTCATTTCTACAATAAATCAAAAAATTAGCCTGGCGTGGTAGCGTGTGCCTGTAGTTCCAGCTTCTTGGAAGGCTGAGTGGAAGGATCGCCGGAGCCCAGCAGGTCGAGGCTGCAGTGGCCAGGAGCGGCCACTGCACTCCAGTCTGGGCGACAGAGTGAGACTCCAACTCAAAAAAAAAAAAAAGTGTCTGTCAAAGTTGTGTGTCGTGGTATCGTTGCTGGTGACAGCAAAAATAAGCCCCAATGGAAGCAACAGCTTCACTTCTTGAATGATTATTCTGCACCATCCAGGCCAAATCAACAATAGCCCCTGTGCCAGGATGTCACACAGCTCACATTGCGTTCAAGTTTGCTGAGCTGAAGGAAAGAAAGACTCTTTGCCATTCAGGTAAGACGCCCGGAAGGTAGCCCCAAATTCTTGAAATCTGCCAATGCTGCCATCGTTGATGTGGTTCCTGGAAAGCCGATGTGTGTTGAGAGCTTCTCTGACTATTCTCCTCTGGGTCATTTGCTGTTCATAACATGAGACTGACAGACAGTTGCTGTGAGTCTCATCAAACAATAGACAAGAAGGCTGCTGAAAGCCACAGCATGATGGCTCATGCCTGTAATCTCAGCCCTTGGGAGGCTGAGGCAGGAGGATTGCTTGAGTCCGGGAGTTCGAGACCAGCTTGGGCAACATAGCAAGACCTTGTCTCTACAAAAAAAAAAAAAAATCAAAAAATTAGCTGGGTGTGGTGGCACATGTCTGTAGTCCTAGCTACTTGGAAGGCTGAGGCGAAAGGATCACCTGAACCCAGGAGGTAGAGGCTGCTGCAAGCGTGATCTTGCCACTGCACTTCAGTTTGGGCAACAGAGTAAGACCCCAACTCAAAAAAAGAAGAAGGAGGAAGAGGAGGAGGAGGGCAGGGCAGCTGGAAAGAGCTGGGAAGGTCACCAGGTCTGCCCAGCAAGCTGAGAAGGCTAAATGAATATTGTCCCTAATACCTTCCACTCCAGTCTAGATAATGTTATTTCAATGTTCCAGTTGAGTACACAAGTCACACAGCTAGCAAGCTGCTAGCACCTCTGTTCTTATGGAAAGGCAAACCAATGCAAAAAAAAAATGTTTTATTTTTAAATCAAGAGCAAAAAGCTCCTTCCTTTATCATCAAGGTCATCATAAAGATCTAAAAACAATACTATGAACCTTAACTCAGTAGCTAGTTGGAGTTTCTAATTAAGGCTCAGAGGTAGCATAAAGGAAAAAAGGGTCGATTTTTGACTTTTTTTTTTCTTTTTGAGTTGGAGTCTCACTCTGTCACCCAAGCTGGAGTACAGTGGCACACTCACTGCCACCACAGTCTTGACCTACTGGGCTCAGGAGATCCTTCCACCTCAAGCCTTCCAAGTAGCTGGAACTACAGGCGCGCGCTACCACACCCAGCTAATATTTGATTTATTGTAGAGATGAGGTCTCGCCAGTTGCCCAGGCGGGTCTCAAACCCGCAGGCTCAGGCAATCCACTCACCTCAGCCTCCCAAGGTACAGGATTACAGGCTGAGCCACTGAGCCTGGCTGACTGCATGCTTTTTACAAATGCTTCCTTTCTCCTCCGTGTCACCAACAGGGATTATCTCAATGACCAAGCCTTATGGAGCAAGTGCCAAGAGCCTGCTGACGTGGTTCCCTGGAACCTGGCCCTCTTCTCCATCTTGCTGATCATAGGAGGAATCCAGATGGTTCTCTGCGCCATCCAGGTGATCAATGGCCTCCTGGGGACCCTCTGTGGAGACTGCCAATGTTGTGGCTGCTGTGGGGTAAGTTAAGGTCTTTGTTGTTTCTTCTCAGCATGGGAGAGGCCACGACAGGCCACCAGCACTGATGGAAGGAGGGGTGGTAAGGGTAGCTGCCTGCAGAAAGCCAGTCCAGGCTGGGAAGGCCAGCTGGCCCACTCTACCAGCTCCCGGAGGGAGTGACGTTGCATTGCTGGCTCCTAGAAGTTCTGCTCTCTGCGCATGTTAACAAACCCTGGCGAAGGTGGCCACAATTTTCAGCCTGTCATTCAGTTAACCTTCAGTTGTCCTGAAGACATAGGACATCACCCACCTGTGAAAGTTTACAATAGGCTGGACATGTGGTTCACTCCTCTAATCCCAGCACTTTGGGAGGCCAAGGCAGGAAGATAGTTTGAGGCAGGGGGTTTGAGACCAGCCTTTGTAGCAAGACTCCATCTCTCTACAAAAATATTTAGCTGGGTGTGGTGGTGCATGCCTTTTACTCAGCTACTTAAGAGGCTGAAGCAGAAGGATCACCTGAGCCCAGAAGGACGAGGCTGTGGTGAGCTATGATCCTGCCACTGCACTCCAGCCTGGGTGACAGAGTGAGAATCTAACTCAAAGAAAAGAAAAAAAGCAGACTGATGTATGAGAAAAAAGTGAAACAAAACTTAAGGGCTTTCTAATTAGGGAATTACCTAAATATATGTAAATAAAGGTCTATCCACTTAATATATTATGGCAAAACTTTAAATGACTCAAGACATTTTACTTAAAGTTATAATGTGATATATATATATATGTCAAAAATCAAATCTGTGCATGTGTGTACACAGAGAAATATAGGCCGGGCATGGTGGTTTATGCCTATAATCCCAGCACTTTGGGAGACCGAAGTGAGAGGATTACTTGAGCCAGTGGGTTCAAGACCAGCCCGGGCAATTTTGCAAGACCTCATATTTACAATAAATAAAAAAAATTTAGCCGGGCATGGTGGCATGTGCCTGTGGTTCCAGCTACTTGGAGGACTGAGCCTAGCAGGTCGAAGCTGCAGTGACTGGGAGCTTGCCACTGCCCTCCAGTGTGGGTGACAGAGTGAGACTGCAATTTAAAAAAAAAAAAAGAAGAAAAAGAAATATATATATAGTCTTTCTTTTTTTGAGTCAGAGTCTCACTCTGTCACCCAGGCTGAAGTGCAGTTGCACACTCACGGCCACTACAACTTCGACCTGCTAGTTTCAGGCAATCCTTCCACCTCAGCCTCCCACTAGCTAATTTTTAAAATTTTATTGTAGAGACAAGGTCTTATCAAATTGCCCAGGCTGTTCTCAAATCCCTGTGCTCAGGTAATCCTCTCGCCTCTGCCTCCCAAAGTGCTGGGATTACAGGTATGAGCCACTGCACCTGGCCACACATAGGTTTTCAGTTGGAAAGTCTCACTCCAACCTTGGTCTCCTGTCCACTCAGTTCCCTCCAGTCTCCTCACCTACCTAAAGTTACAAGGGGGTACCCCCAAAACTTGGAATTTTTTAATAAAAAATTGTGTATTTATTCTTACATGTTTCAACTTCAGTCACCTTCAAAGTACTCTCCATTTCATGCAATATACTTATCAAGACACTTTTTCCACTGCTCAAAACAGTTTTTGAGCTCATCTATGTTTATACCTTTTTTTTTTTTGAGTTGGAGTCTCACTCCGTTGCCTAGGCTGGAGTGCAGTGGCACACCCATGGCCACCCCAGCGACCACCTGCTGGGCTCCGGAAATCCTTCCGCCTCAGCCTTCCAAGTAACCGGAACTACAGGCGTGTGCTACCACAACCGGCTCATTTTTATTTATTGTAGAGACCAGGTCTCACCAAGTTGCCCGGGCTGGTCTCAAACCCGCAGGTTCAGGCAATCCACTCACCTCGGCCTCCCAAAGTGCTGGGATTACAGGCTGAGCCACCAAGCCTGGCCAATGTTTATAACTTTTAGTGCTTCTGCTGTTTTTTGTTTCACCTCTTCCAAATGGGCAAAACGTTTCCCTTTGACTTTTTTCATCCAGGAAAACAAAACAATGTCTCTCAGGGTGAGATCAGGTAAATAGGGATCATGGGGCACTGGGTCAGTGCCATATTTGGTCAAAAATAGCTGAACACTCAGCAGTGTGGGCAGGTGCATTTGGAAATCACCCATCAGCTGGGCTCGGTGGCTCAGCCTGTAATCCCAGCACTTTGGGAGGCTGAGATGAGTGGATT